GAACCCCACCCCCCATACTCCCCCGCCCTGGAATTGCTGGGTGGGGAATTCTGGGAGTTGAAGTCCGGACATCTTCAGATTGCCAAGGTTGGGAAACACTGCTCTAATGAATAGCCCATCCAAAGACCCCGGCTCTCTGTGCCTGTCAATCATCAAAGCCCACCCAAGGGGAGTCGTTCTATTGGATAGGTTAGTCGTGTTTCTCGATCTTGGCAAGGTGAAGATGGGTGGACTTCAACTCTCAAAATTCTGGGAGTTGAAGTCCGGACATCTTCAGATTGCCAAGGTTGGGAAACACTGCTCTAATGAATAGCCCATCCAAAGACCCCGGCTCTCTGTGCCTGTCAATCATCAAAGCCCACCCAAGGGGAGTCGTTCTATTGGATAGGTTAGTCGTGTTTCTCGATCTTGGCAAGTTGAAGATGGGTGGACTTCAACTCCCAGAATTTTGAGAGTTGAAGTCCACCCATCTTCAACTTGCCAAGATCGAGAAACACTATTGGTTAATGCTCACCTCCAGCACCACGGTCCTCATGCTGCCATCCTGGGCTAGATAAGCCGCGGTGTCTGGATGCTCGTAGTACGCGTGGACCACGGCCAAGGCCGCGTGGCAGGCCTGAGCCACCGAGGCCCCCAACGGCCACGAGAAAGGCTCGCGTAACAAGTCGCCCCTCAGCACCACATATTGCACCAAAGAGCGGCCCGCCGCCGCCATCCTCAAGCAGGAAATGAGGTGGTTCCTAAAGGAACTCTGGGAAAAGATTAAACGAAGCGAGCCGCCCCGTTTCCGTACAAGAGAACCATCTCAGGAGTGGGTTCACCATCTTGTCGTACGGCATGTAAAAACAAAAAACCCGCCCAGATGAGGTAGTAGAGCGGCTGATTGAAAACTCACTGGCGAGTCATTTCGGGGAGAAGGAAAAGTCTCGGTCCGATGACGTAATTCCGAGTGCGGTGTGTCGTTGCTAGGCGGGAGTTTTGAATCCATCTGAGAGGCGAGCCTTCGGTCCATTGCTGAAGCAGTGAGTTTTTAGTAGGTTCGTAAGGCAAATAGGCTTACCTCATGAATTTCTCCCCCGTGAGGGACAGATCAGAGCCCAGGCTGGCCAGTCCGGTCCGGTCGTCTCAGCAGCTTCAAAAGGAGACACAGAAACCATAGCGAAGTGGTGGTGGGAATAGCATACATTCATTCGCCACAACATTTCCGAAAATAATTTTCAGGCTCCCTGGCTTTGGAGATCGCTCTACTTTCGCAATTCTGGTGTCGGCGCCAGGCTGTTTGTCTGCTACCTTTCCCTCAAATGAGGTGCTTGAACTAGGAATTAAAATTAGTATAACATATATAGTGAGAAACAGTCAGACAGGCGAGCGTGTTGACGTCTGAATTGAACTAATGCCGGTTATTCTCAACCATTAATTCTTCTGGCTAAGGATTGTGGGGATTGTAATGCAGTGCATTAGGATGGCGGTGGGGGAAATTGACTTATGTGGATATATTGGTCTTCAAAAAAAGACTAGGCGCCGACTGAGCTAGGTAGTAAACCATGTAAACCAACCTCACTGTTTAAACCATGGATATATTTTTTTCTGAAAATGATTAATTCTCTTCCAGAATTCAAAGTTTCACCATTGACATTCATTAAGCCATTCTTTCTGTTAAAATTCTGCAGGAACCTGAGGAAGTTGTCCCCCTTCTAGAACCAGAGAAGAAAATCTTGTGGGATTATTATTATTTTGGCTTTTTTTAAGGAATTGGAATTAAAAAATGGGCGAAATTGCCATTTCCTTTTCAAATGGTAAGTTAACACTGTTCTAGTTTAAAATGTTTAAAGAAAGTGAGATGGAAACCCCCCCCCCCCTTGTGTAAAGTGCTGCTTATCAGAATGGAAGATCAAACTACTGGTAATACTATAGTCTCGTAATTTATATTGAGCAATTAGAAAGCCAATGTAGCTGATTCTTTACTCCGGTTAGTTGAAGAAATTCTGAACATTTAGGTAATTATCTAATTATAATTTGGTCTTAAGTTAATGTGTATTGCTTGTCTAACATCTAGAATTATAACTTGTTCTAAATCCCAAAGAGATAATCGACATTAAAAAGCATGTGTACGTACAAACAACATCAAGACAAGATACAAATAAGTTCAATAATTTTAATGTAGTTTATAAAAAAAGTCATTTATGAAATATTCATCTGCTTATTGCTTTGAGTTGTGCACCACTTTAGAAGTTTTCAGAAAAGTTAAATATATATATTTAAATTATACAAATATATACATAATTACATATAATATATTTGATACAGTGAATGAATTCCATAAAGGCAGTTAAATAAGTTTTATAAAACTTTCATGAGAAGTGGATAACTTTTGCCTTAGTTAGCTTACGAGTCAAGTTTTGATTTGGAATGGTTCTTCCTCCAGAAGCTTTTTCTGTTACCCAAGCTTTCCAGAGAACATTTGAGTATTTGTCTGAAATGGTATAGGGCAGCGATGGTGAACCTTTTTTGGCTCGTGTGCCATAAGCGGGGGAAGCACAGGGGGGGTCGTGCGTGGACTTACCACAGCCATTATGCAATGTGCCAACACCATGCACATGCGTGCATGACAGGCTCCCCCCCCCCACATTTTTTGCATGCTTTTTTCGCCCTCCCCAGGCTCCAGAGGCTTTATAGGAATCTGGGGAGGGTAAAAATAGCCTCCCCCCGCTCCACGAGGCCTTCCGGAGGCTTCAGGAGCTTCCCTCAAGTCACTTCCGGTTTGCTCATAGGGCTGTTTTTAGTCCTCTGGACCTTTCAGGGACCTTCAGGAGGCCCCTGAAGGCTCCGGAGGGCTTAAACCGGCCCTTCAAGCAAACCAGAAGTCTGTTCCTGAACTTCCGGTTTGCCTGTAGGGCTGGGGTTTTTTTTGCGCTCTGGAGGCTTCAGGGAAGCTCCTGAAGCCTCCAGAGGGTGTACGGGGGAGAGGAGGCTGTTTTTGCCCTCCCCAGGCTCCTATAAAGCCTCTGGAGCCTGAGGAGGGTGAAAAATTGCTTTTAAAAAGGCTGAACTCAACTGGCCAGCTGACAGAGCAACGCCTCACGTGCCCTGACAAATGGCTCCACATGCCACAGGTTCGCCATCCTGGGTATAGGGCTTTCTGCCTGAGCAGGGGGTTGGACTAGAAGACCTCCAAGGTCCCTTCCAATTTTGCTGTTATGTTATTCTGAAGTGAATAGCAGGAAGATGAAAGGATAGGAAACTTTTCTTCTGTGAACCATTCTTAGGCTTATTGTAAGCTTGAAGCCAAGGTATGGAATGATACCTTTAATCTTAATAAAAATCCCTCCTGGGAAATACCTTGTTTATAATCAGCAAATAAGAATGTATATATGGAAGATTTTCCCTAAATTTAGGTATTTGTTTTCCTTTTGCAGGTGTATCCCTCATTATTATACACTATATTGAGTGTTGTAAAGAATAAACTGGTTATTGTAAGAATATGTCTTGGAACAGATTTTGCATTTCAGATCACTATATTGACAATGTTCAAAGCTGTGTCTCCATTGTTTTCTTTATGGTTTAGCTGATTATCTTGTAGTTCTCAGATAATTAGCAAGCTCCTCTGCACACAGATAATACACACTTAAATCTTTTAAAAAATTCAAGAAATAATTTATTGAATTAATTGAAAATGATAGATTTCTGACCACATATTTATTTGTTTATTCAGTTTCTATAGCCACTCATTTCAATGACTAGGCCTGCTTTATTTCAGTCTGTTAAGATGATTAGGTATACTTTTAATATTAAAATTGTGGGGGTTTTTTGCCTGCACATATTCTTTGCAGGTACATTATCTCATTTGGAAAAGTTGGAGGCTTCTGCCCGCAATGTAGTACTGAAACAAGAGAAAATAAGGGAGCATGAGGAGAAGATATTGAAGATGAAAATGAAGATCCAAGACCTGAGAAGCCAAAGAGATGAGTTAAAAACCAAACTAAATGTTTGTCAATCACGGGTGAGTGTGAAGTATATGTTGACATAAAGACAACATGGGCTGGATTCTTTTTTAAGGGCTGGCAGAATGTAAATCATGAAGCTGAGTTACTAAGCAAAGTTTTGCCTAAAAGGATAAACTTATACTACATAACTTGAACTTTAACTGAAGTCAAAACAGCTTTTAAATGATCTAAAGCACCAAGGAAAATGAGCACATATAAAACAATTTTCTAAACATTTCTAGTCTGATAAGTTAGCTCCAATAAAGGTGAATATTTGATAATTCAGTTTTATTAACCCATTTCTGTAAAAGAGATGGGTGTAGGTATTGTTTCTATAAATGCATTATTTCTTAAGGCATTGTGATCTCTGTTTCTGACTTGCAATTCTTACATTGTATTAATGTGGTATCCTTATCTATCAGTAAATGTGTTTTGCTTAATACAATACAATAGAATTTTTTATTGGCCAAGTGTGATTGGACACGCAAGGAATTTGTCTTTGGTGCATATGCTCTCAGTGTACATAAAAAGAAAAAAATACATTCATGAAGTGTAGGAATAGAGGAAAGGTTACGTAAAGACATGCACAGCAAACTGCCATGATTTCAGTGGCTGCTTACCTCTTAACCTATGAGTTCACTTAATTAGCTTCACCAGGTACTACCAGGAACTATTGAGTGATGTGAGATTCTACTGTGGGTGGGATGTTCTTAGAGATTGACAAGGAGAATGTGCCTGTTACAATCCTGTTGCTATATGATCGTTGGTTTGCTTGTAAAAGCTATAAAAAGAATAAACCCTCCGAAGGGAGGGAAGCATTTTAGAATGAACCCTGTGATGTTAGCTCTCTGAATCCACCAATCAAGAATCATAAGATACAACATTTAGTGATAGTCATAAGTTACTTAATAAGCAATCAAATATACTAGGAAACAAATAAAGCAATATAAATCATAGAGATACAAGCAACAAGGTTATAGTCATAAGTGGGAAGAGATAGGTAATAGGAAGGATGAGAAGAANTGAAAGTCTTCTAATCCAGCACCTCCCCCTCAAGCAGACCTATATCATTTCAGACAAATGGCTGTCTAGTATCTTTTTAAAAGCCTCCAGTGATGGAGCACTCACAACTTCTGAAGGCAAGCTGTTCCACTGATTAATTGTTCTGTCAGGAAATGTCTCCTTAGCTTTTCTCCTTGATTGCTTTCCAAACATTGCTTCTTGTCTTGCCTTCTGCTGCTTTGGTTAATACATCGACCCCCCCTTCTTTGTGGCAGCCCCTCAAATATTCTAACAATAGCGTGTCACCCCTTATCTTTTTCATTAAACTAGACATATTCAATTCCTGCCATTGCTCTTCATATCCTTTAATCTCCATCCCCCTAATCATCTTTTTTGCTCTTCTTTGCACTCTTTCGGGAATCTCAACATCTTTTTTATATCATGACCAAAACTGGATGCAGTATACCAAGTGTGGTCTTACCAAGGCCTTATAAAGCAGTATTAACACTTCACATGATCTTAATTCTAGCCCTCCATTAAAGTAGCCCAGGATTCCATTCGTTTTGTTTGATTTTTGGCTGCTGCCACAAACTGCTGGGCTCATATTTAAGTGACTGTCCACTAGGACTCCAAGATTCCTTACACAGTTACAGCTATTGAGCAAAGTTTCATCTAATTTCTACTGGTACATTTGCGTTTTTTGCTTACGGGTAAAACCTTTTCTCTATATTGAATTTCGTTTTGTTAGATAGGACTCAGTGTTGATGTCTGTTGAGATCCATCTTCTGAGGTGTTGGTTATTCCTGCCAGCTTGTTATTGTCTGCAAATATGATTATTCCTCTTTTATTCCCTCATCTAAATTGCTTATGAACTAGGCCTAAGACAGAACCTTGGGGTACCCCATTGGTTACTTCCCTCCACGTAGATAGTTTCATTAAGGACTACATGTTGAGTGCAGTTTGTCAGCCAGTTATAATTCATCTGGTGGTGATGCAGCCTATCCCACATTTTTCTAGCTTAACAAGAGGTAGGTTGTAGTCTATTTTGTCAAATGCCTTATTGAAATCCAAGTATATTATGTCCACAGCATTTCACTGACACACTAATTTAATCACTTAGTCACAGCATGATCTATTTTTGACAAACCCACGTTGGCTTCTGGTTACGACTTGACTTGCTTTTAGGTGTTTGCAGATCTGTTGCTTGATTATCTTTTCCAGAATCTTCCTAGTATTGATGTCAGGCTGATTGGTCTGTAGTTTCCTGGATCTGGGTTCCCCTCCCCCCTTTTTTTTGGCAGATGGAAAGACCACTTTTCCAGTCCTCTGGTAGTTCTCCAGTGCTTCAAGATCTTTGAAAGATATATCGGTAGTTCAATGGTTCCAAGATCATGTCTACCAGATCTTTTAGAACTCTGGAATGTAATCCATAAGTTCCTAGTGATTTGAACTCATCTAAGTAGACAAGTGTTCTTTTACCATTTTCTTGAGTACCAGTATTTTAATCTGAATTCCTAGTTTGTCTTTTAAGGTTCTGTTTTTGGTAGGTTGGGCTATTTTTTTTTCCTGTGAAGACATATGCAAAGAATTAAGCAGCTCTCCTTTACCCCTGCTGCCTGTCACCTCCTTGCCATCTCCTCCCATAAGTGGATGAATTGTTTGACTTTTTTTATTTTTTATATGTTGAAACTTTTTTTATGTACATATGTTGCAAGTCTTAATTCATTCTGAGCCTTAGCTCTCTTGACTCCATCTTAGCAGATTCAGGCTATATGGTGGCATTTTGCCTTTGTTATCATTTTTCCCCGCATTATTTTTTGTCTTTCAGTATATCAGAGTTCTTTGTGCAACCATAGTTTCTTCTTGGATTTTTTTTCAGTGGTATTGAGCTGGACTGGGCTTTTATCATCATATTTTTCAGTTTGCCAAGATTCTTGTTTTCCCCTTTAAAATTTTTATCCATAAAATCCCTTCCAACCTCTAAGTTTATTGAAATCAATTCCTTTAGGTTTGCTTGTGTCTGCACTATGTTGAATTTTAATGACATGTTCACTCTCCCCCAACATTCCTTATTTTATGTTAGTAAGAATTAGGTCCAGTATGGCTGACCTTCTAGTTCCCTCCCTAACTTTTAGATGACAAAGTTATCAACTAGGTTGGGCAGGAACCTGTTCAATCTCCCATTTGATGCAGAGTTTGTCTCCCAGTTGATGTCAGGGTAGTTAATACTTGGCAAGTTGCCTACATGCATTTGTTAACTGTTTAGCAAAAATTCATCTATTTTTTCTTCTGGTTGAGTGGCCTGTCATGTCATTCTTTTTTCTTTTTTATATTGACCAACATGCATTCTAGGCAGCTTTCATCCTTGGTTTTATCCATTTTTGTAGAGATTTGGTGATCTCTTACACATAATGTAATTACATCTCCACTTTTGGAGGTATGTGTTGGCTCTTCTATTGTCATTCACAGTATCACAGAATTGGAAACTAAGCATTATCACTTCAGTTTAATTCATCCAAGTTTACACATACATCTCCTTAACTGTTTTTCAGCTGTTGATTAGCCAGTCCTGGTACTGATGAGTGACTGTGAAAGAAAAAGCCCAAAACCATAGCCATAATAAAGCTATCTTTTTCAACAGAAGGCTAATAAGATATTTCAACACAAACAGACTGTGATTTCAATACAGAACATTTACAGTGCATTATTCAATACATTCACTTGGGATATACAGTATAAAATCAAAATAACTGTCTTTAGTGAATTGCATGCCATTAAAGTTTTTGCAGAAATATTTTTTTGCTTTAGAGTACATAGGAATTGCTTCAGCTTCCCATACTTTGGGCTAAAGTGTAATTCACTAATTTATGAATCATTGAGTTATAAAAATTCAGCGTACATGTTGAAGGGAACAATTCAATATGGTAGCTGTCTTCTGTTTAAGTATCCAAAAGGAGTTATTATCAGCCACATTAATTTAAACAGACGGCTAGAAGAGTAATATTAGACTGCAAATTTACCAATCCACCAGCATTCTTCCCATAATAACCAATCAAAATGAAGACTAAGTCTACAAGAAAGACTTAGAGGATAAGATTTTTTTCCCCTATTGCTTCTGAGCAACTGATATTTTACAAATTATGTCACTACTGATACTTGCAGCAGCAAAACACCTGTTATGAACAGAGGCCACGGGCTGCATTTATATAATGGATTGAATAATGAATGGTACCCAAGGACATTTTAGCCTAGTATGTTGAACAAAGAGATCCGGTTTTATGGGCCAATGCAAATATACAAAATTGATTTAATCGATTCAGATGATTAAATGACAAGCAAATATATCACGCAAGCATAGTAATAGATTCTCCATGAGTTTGTCTAATTCCTTTCCAAAATTAGACTTGAGAGCTGAAGACCACCATCATCGGTTTCTGAAAGAAAATTCCATACTTTTATTATATATCAAGCAAAGAAATTCTTCCCTCTGCTTATCCTGGATATCCACTGTTCACCTTCAGGGCATAGCACACTTTTACAGTATTATCATACCTTATTAAATTGAACCATACTTAACATTCTGTTCACATTCACCTGTACATAGAGATGCCTCTTTGGAGTGCTTTGAAATTCCTTTTCTATCATCCTGATGTTATCACTGCTCAACCCTAACTCCGTATTTGTAAATAAATTTAAACATCACAAATCACAAATAGATTATTGAAGCTATTTTCCTAACACATGTAACAGTGTTCATAAGACACCCCATCTTTATTCATGAATTTTATGTTTTTAATGAGATTTTGTTAAAAGCTTTCTAAAAGCTCAGAAGGGTTCTTTCTGCATCTGAACTAACACTATTTTTACCGTGTTTCCCCAAAAATAAGACATGGTCTTATTTTCTTTTTACACACAAAATATGGCTTGGGCCTTATTATGAGGGGTTTATTGTTTTGGGGTTGCCAGGTGGCTGCTCTCTTGCGAGCGGGCTCCCAAAGAGCCGGGCACAGCCTCATGGGCGAATGCTGTGTTGCGCTGTCGCAGCAGTGCAACACAACAGCCATGAAGCGACCACACTCATGAACAGCCACCCAGCAAATTCCCTTTCCAGCCATGCAGAGCGCCATTCACTAACCTAGGGGTATCGCCAAACTGCGTGAGCAACTGTTCGCTGCTGGCCGGCTCCCAAAGCTTGACACCTTCAAAAGGCCAGTGAATGGCGCTCTGCATAGCTGGAGAGGGGGGTTGCTCTCACGCCTCCCAGCCTCACAATGCCCTGGCCCAGCTCTCCCTGCAGAGCCAGGTCACCTCCGCTGCCGCCACCACCGCTATCCCAGCATGGCTTTTTCGGTGGCTTCCAAACCGAGTCTTCTGGCAGTGGCCACTCTGGACATACGCTCTACCAACAGCCAGCCCACAACCATAGAGCATATGCCCAGAGAGGCCAGTGCCAGAAGTCTCTGTTTGGAAGCTGCCGAAAAAGCCATGCAAGGATGGGGGTGGTGGCAGTGGAGGTGTGCCAGGGCATCGTGAGGCTGGGAGGCGCGCGAGCGGGAGCGGAACAGCAACCCCCTTCTGCAGCCAGGCAGAGCGCCATTCACTGGCATTTCGAAGGAACCAAGCCGTGAGAGCCGGGCAGCAGAAAACAGGCTTTCAAGCGGCTTGGAGATACCCCTACGTCAGTGAATGTCGTTCTGCACGACTGGAAAGGGGGTTTGCCGGGTGGCTGCTGTGCCCAGCTCTTTGGAAGCCCGTTCGCAAGAGAGCAACCGCCCAGCAACCCCCCGCACAATGCCACTCACCAACCTAACGGTATCACGAAGGCACCAAGCAACGTGATCACCTTTGCCTCCCCCCAGTTCCCGCGGCTTGGCACCTTCAGGATACCACAAGGTTGGTGAGCGGCGCCCTGCCTGGTCGGAGGTGGGGGGGGGGTTGTCCAGCGGGCTTATTTGCAGGGGAGAGCTTATATTTTTGCCCACCAGAAAAATATGGCATGGCCTTATTATCAGGACATGTCGTATTTTCGGGAAAACATGGTAGTGCAGATAAAAAAAATTAGAATATTCTGCTACCCCAAATATTTCCTAATATAAATATATCTGAATAACGAGTCAAATCCCAGGAACAATGATTTATTGTTTATTAAATTTATATGCCTTCCATCTCACCAGTAAAGCAACTCTGGGCAGGTTAATATCCTGAATCCACTTTTTAATAATATTAAGGCACCAAATGTTTCCCCTTAAATTGAGAAAATTGTCTTATGCTACATCATGAAATCCCTTGCCTCCTAATGATATCAATCCCATCTTTATGAAATACTCTGATTGAAGTAAATTCTTGCATCTCACAATTATTATATTGCAAAGGAAGGCTGTGAAAAAAACCAAAGGAATTATACTTTTATCTGGTCAACTATGTTCATGGCAACAGAGGAAAAGGATCATTTCAGGAGTTTGAAATTCTTTAGATGCTGATGTACATGTTCTTTCAGGTAGGGACGGAGGGCAATGCAAGTAGCTATGTTTTCCGGTTGTTCTATCCAGACTTTATGATCAATGTCATTCTGTTGCAGTCTCTCTGCTAATGTACTCAAGGCACACTCATCTGGAGCCTAAGAAGAAAACGAAAAAAATCTCAGTGCAATATAGAATCAAAGATTGCTATAGCACTCATTGGTAACCTCTGTCTTGCTAAAACTACAATGACCAGCAACCCCAAAAATTATCTGCCTAACTGAAAACAGCAAAAAAACATCAATTGTACTTTTTGTACTAAATTGTAAAAACACTTCTGTTTTGAAGATAATTATCAGAGTTGGTAATAACCACAAATCTAAATGCACTTAAAACGAAGATCCAGTTCATACAAATGCATTGAATTCTATGTCTTAATATTGTGCTGCATATATACTGTAATTGGGAACTAATTGCAGATGTCACTGTATCTCAATGATCTAGCAACTGTTAACAAGTGTTTTGTACGCACACATATCCATCTCTCAGGAGGAGCTTTTGAAACAGAATATACATTAAAGGTAGCATCACACAGATTTTATCTGTCCATTCCTCCCTCACTTGGATGTAATCAATGCTACAATGCAAAGGCTTGGATCCAACTGTCCAATCTCCCATATGCAGCTTTACTGATTAGAATCCCCTAATTCGCAAAGGCTTTTTTTAAATACAGAAAAGGGGGGTGGGGAATTCTGTTGAATTCCAAACTGATCTGTTAGATTCCAGAACGTCATGGCCAGAAATCTATGTATTTATTCAATAATCAGATTGCATTTCTATTTGTGCTCTCTGCTATTCCCTTATGGTTAAAGTCTATTTTAGAAAAACAGATCAGCAGTCTGACTGGGTAGAAACCCTTTCAAGTACAGTAATCACTCTCCAAAGAAGCAGCACCCATTTAGGCTTGCTAAAACAGAAACAACCGCAAATCTAAATGCACTTACAACGAAGACACAGTCCATACAAATGCATTGACTTCTGTCTTAATATTGTGCTGTGATGCACAGAGATACACTGTAATTGGGAAGAAATTGCAGGTGTCACTGCATCTTCATGGCACTTTGTAGGACCTTCCCTTCCCAACCAGTTGAAAATGAGAAAAAAGCAATAACAAATATAGGTTTTAGCATCAGTTTGGCGCAAAGTCAGTTTGCAGAAACCAGGATCACGGACGTGAATCCTTTTAAATAGTGGGTTTCTTATTCACAGGTTAATGCAGTCACATCTGTCTGGAATTCACACTATATCGGACGTAAATCTAACTGAGCGAGTCCAGAGGTATTTCACGAGAAGAGTACTCCACTCCTCTGCTCACAATAGAATCCCTTATGCCACCAGGCTTGACATTTTGGGCTTGGACAACCTAGAACTATGCCAATTAAGACCTGACCTCAGCATAGTACACAAAATTGTCTGCTACAACGTCCTACCTGCTCAATGACTACTTCAGCTTCAACCGCAATAATACACGGGCAAACAAATTCAAGGTAAACCACTCCAAACTTGATTACAAAAAATACAACCAGCAACAGAGTGGCCAATGCCTGGAATGTTCTACCTGACTCCTGTTGTTACATCCTTAAACCCTCATAACTTTAACCTGAAACTGTCTTAGCGTGGACCTCACACTATTCCTAAGAGGTCTGTAAAGGGGGCGTGCATAAGCTCCCAACGTGCCTACCATCCCTGTCCTACTGTCCTCATTTATTCGTACCCATATCCTGCGTTCATCTCCATGATTATACTTATAGCTGTTATCTCGTACACGTTTGGCAAATTAAATAAATAAATAAAATAAAAACAAAGTAATGCAGTAGCATCCATACCACTAGTTTTGCAGGGCTGGATTTTTAAGGTCCTGCCTGCGCTCTAATGCAGTGTTTCCCAACCTTGGCAACTTGAAGATGTCCAGACTTCAACTCCCAGAATTCCCCAGCCAGCATTCGCTGG